AGAGAGAGAGAGAGAGAGAGAAAAAAGGGGACAGAGGGGTAGAGAGCGAGGGAGAGGGGGAGGGAGGGGAGGAGAGGAGAGGAGAGGAGAGGAGAGGAGAGGAGAGGAGAGGAGAGGAGAGAAGAGAAGAGAAGAGAAGAGAAGAGAAGAGAAGAGAAGAGAAGAGAAGAGAAGAGAAGAGAAGAGAAGAGAAGAGGGTGTTAAGAAGAAGAAGCCTACAAGATTTCCTTGCAGAAGAAACAACTATGAGCAAGGAACACCTGTGCGTTGCATGTCCTACATGTAAAATGGAGATGTAAGCCAGCAGCCTGCTCAGGCAGACTCTCACTCCTGGTTATTTCCAGCACACAGAGCACTGCAATCACACTTGGGCATGGGGCAGGGTAGTCCCAGGAAGCCAGACAGAAGACAGGAAAGTCTGATTTTTGTTTGTTAGTTACTGTATCAATTTACAATTTCTTAAATTTTAAGGTCTTAAATAACTTTCTTCTTTATAGTTTGTTATGTAAACACACACTAAATACCTTTATAATGCATAATATAACCATGAGAAGATATGTGTGTTCTTGAAATAGTGACATTTCAAAGTGTACTTAAAGAACTAAGTAGCTAAAGCTTGGAGGAAAAGCTCATACACTCATGTGTACCGATTGATACTGACTTTACCACAGGTCAGATGTCATGTGACTGTATGGTGAATCGAGACTTGGTTGATTTACACTTAACAGATGCTTAAAATAAGTTTCATATTGTAATATGTAGGCCACAGCAAAGGCCTGTTCTCATTTTTATCCTAGGCACTGGAAGTAAAATAAATCTATGTGATCACTTTACAAAGAAAAATAATTGAAATTATTTCACCTTGAGTGTCACTATGACAGCTGCAGGATATGTCAAACCAACCATGTGATAGTTCTTCCTGTACATCCTAAAAAAGACAAAGTAATTTCATATGTAACATTCAGTTGCTCAACACTTTCAGCTGTTTTCTCAAATATCAGGAAAAGATAAGTCTTGGTTTCTTCACCCTGTATCCCCACTGTGACAGTGGCAATAAGAACCATCATTATTTTTTGGGTGACAGGGGGATAGCATTTGTCAACTCACAGTGACTCTAGGAAGTGATCGTAGCTTCCATGCACATACAGCTTTCCCTGAACTTCCTGCAATTAACAGGGTGACAGTACTTTCTATGTCCAGTGACACCTTTCACAGGCCACCCAATCTGTGACAGCAGAGTATTCTTGTTTTATGTCCATTTGTGTACTAAAAGTTTGACAATAGAGGTTGAATATCATGAACATCTTTTTGTTTTTATCTATCTATCTATCTATCTATCTATCTATCTATCTATCTATCTATCTATCTATATCTGTCTATTTCAGAATGGCTACTATCAGAGGGAGACAGCAACATCACAATTTACACAGCTCATTGTGGTTAAGGATATAACAAATGATTATATTGATAAAAAATAACTCAAGACTGTTCAAACTGCCATCCAATATTTTTTAAGAAAGCTTATTCTGAGAAAATAATCTTTCCATTTCTGTACACAGCACTATACTTTTATATACTTGTAACTTGTTTATATTTTAATGAAAAGCTAATCTGATTTGTAATTTGATGGGAAGCTAAACCAAATAGAAGGTAGAGTCTAGTAAAGAAAAACCCTAACACAGTTAACAGTAATTGTCTTCTATCTGGGAATATGGAAGATTTGTGACTATTCCCTAAGGTTCTGGAAAGACAAGGTTCAAGTATCAATGAGCTGTATTCCTTAGGTTGCATTGCTGTGACTCTCCGCCTAAAATATAAGGAAATCACTGTAAGTTGATTAAATATAAGAGATGTTGTTAATATGAGAAATATGGAGATAATATTCTGCATTTTTTAAATAAAAATCATTGTGGAAACATGAACATTTTCAAATCTGTGGTCTATTTGTTAAAAATCCAGAAAATATATTGCTGTGTAAAACTAATGTTTTGGTTTTTTTAAATAATAGTAAAAACCAAGTGATTTATCATACTTTTCTTTAAAATACTTCAGGGGAGCTCAATTGAAAATGTGTTTGATCATCCTACCCTTTCTTGAATGAGCATCTCTCCATGTCACCACAGGCATTTTGCCACTCTACTATTTCAGTCTCATTTTTACTTGAAATAATCATAAGCTACTTTTTGATGTGGGTAACAGTATACTAACAAACTTCTTTATTGACAGACCTCAGTACAGTTTACAATTGAAACATTTTTATTAATTACCCTGTGGAAGTAAGTATAATTATTCCAATCCTGCAGAGCAAAGAAAGTGTTAATCATACAACAAAGGTTCGAAAAAGCAATTACTACCAATAAAGACACTTAGTTGTGGATTTGAAGAAAACAAACAATTTTCCTCTACACATTTTATCTGTAGTTTTCATGAAGAAAAGAGGGATGGGGTGGAAGAAAGGGCAATGACCAGGGAAATAGTCAATACAAAACCTAATACAGACATTGTAAGCAGTAAGCAGTATTAAAGCAGTGTGACTTCCTGGCAAAGAAGGGCAGGGAAGATGGAAAAGCATAGAGAACCCATGCTTTGAATTATAAATTAGCCACTTGGTAGCCCTGTGGCCTTAGAGACAATCTTTAATAATTCAGTTATAAAATGCAAATCATAAGCATTCTGTGAAGAGTAAAGAATGTAAATGCTGGACACAACCTAATAAATATCCAACAGAAGATAGCTTTGTACCACTATCACTGTAACTATTCTTTATCCAACTGTCATATAACTCATAGCTCCCTGGGCCCAGTGATCACTCTTACACCACTGAGTTTCCTTGATAAGAAATAGGCTGTGAACGTAATATTACTTATTGCTTGGAATGAAAAGACACAGGGAGGAATGCCCTTTTAAAGTAACTTTTATAAACTTCTCCTATTAGCCCATTACCTTGTCCTTCTAACCCTATCATCAGGCATAGAAATATAAATTTGTAAATTTTATATTCAAGCAAACATAATTACATCAAATAAAAAGAGAAAGCATCATGACTGCTCCAGGACATCTTTGTGAAGCTGACTGACATTTTATTAAACAGGTGATCTGCCATACATCTTGGAAAAAGACTAAAGGATTTCCTGGAATCCAGGAAGTGGTAGTGTCAAAGTGAAATTACAATGGATTATTTTTTAAAGTTTCTCTAAAACTACAAAACATAATTCCAAACTTTAGAAGCAAAGAAACACTCTTCTTCTCAACGCTGTACAAGAGAACATTTGGGCAAATAATTGCCGGGACCTGCTGAGGTACTAAATCTTGGGATAGAAGCTTTACAGGAGAAGCAATAGGAGTTATACTTTCAGGATTAAAAGTAATTACTTTTGAAAATTCAAAATAAACATATCATTGATGGGAATTTGACTTTGATAGATAAATATTTTATTTCTAAATACTTCAACCATGTTAATTTATAATAGTTAAATTGTTATTTAGTTATCTTTCCTGTGTTTTGATATTTCTATTTGGAAATGAGATTTGGTTGATGTTGCATATAAATGAATAGAAACACATCAGGTAAATATATGAATCCTGAATTCATAATATTGTCTCAAATAGATGTACACTCAGATAGTATTTATAGTTTGCATTGGTTTTTAGCTTGCCCAGGTTTGCAATATTTTAAAGAAGGAAGATATCCTACATTCATTCCTTCAGCAGGCTAAGCATGATGCTTTGTCTGAGACTCTCTGGAATGCTGCTTAGATGTTTTTAATTTGATGCCATGGGAAATCAGTAACACTTACACAAAAGGAACGTGACTGTGGAAACTCTCCTCAGCCCAGTCTCCTTGCTTGGCACTTTTGTTAGAATAAATTTATGCACTAGACAAGGTAGGATCCTACCACTAATTAGAGTATTCTTAGTATTTATTAATTGAAGCCAATCAGATGTAGGTAGGAAGCTTGCAAAGTAATTTGAATAATCCAACACTCATTGGGTGCTCTTTTGAGTTATATTCTCATGAAATAAGCTATTAGAAGTTTTATCACAACTGTTCTAACATATTTTTAAACTGCATCTTCAATAGTGCTATTGTTACACTTTCTCATTTACATTTTGAAAATCCAGTATCCTTTCCACTGTCCTTTCATTGGAAATGATGTTCCAAACTATTGAGAGATGAAGGAAATGGCCAGAATCCACATACATGGAAAGGGTCTTGGAGCTGAGCAAGGTGATGCAAGCCTCTCCAGAGGCAGGAGCATTAATAACTCAAAGCCAGGCTGGCCTAACCAGTGACTGTCTCAAAAACAGTGCCCTGATAAATAATACAGTTACTATCTGTCCTTCAATCTGCTCAGTTTCAAAAATACCGAATTTTCCACTTTACACATAATTAACATACTGTGTTTACTGAGGGATTTCTGATAAATGCTTTGCACTTTTGTCAGACATGTTTATAATTGCCTTTTGTAGAGTTTTGGTTCTGAAACATTTCATTTTATAGAAAGGAGAGTAGCCTTTTCTTTTAAAGATAAAAAGAAAACACCATGTGAAACTTGGCCATATTACTATGTATAAACACTGAAACCCCTGGTAATCCCCATGGTATCAGGGAATCTTCTTTCAGCAACACAAATGCTAAATACTAAGTTCTCCAAAGCAGAAGTAAGAGAGATTTCATTTCATGATGAAAACTGAGGGAGAGGGAGGTCTTTTCTATTTAGGACAAAACGACTCACTTAACATTGAAATAAAGATTACTGTCTATTATAGGATTTATTTTATGAGTTATTGCAATTAATTTATAAAAAATTAATTGCTAACATGAATATATTAGAAATGTTTGTAAACAGATATCCACACGGGTGTGCTTCCAAACGGGTATGATTTCAATCTTCCTCTCATCCTAATAGAAATTTAAAAATAAGGAAGGCAAGAGTCTGTTTTAGGTATAATAATCAGGAGACCAAAGTGCTCTCTCTAGTTAGACTTGTGATACTTACTCTGTAAGTGTAATACGGACCTATAGAGCTTTGATGTAATACACACATTCGCTGACCTTCAGATTCTCCTATCTTGAGATGTGAATCCCGCTGCTTACTTACCTTTCCACAAAAATCCCAGCCTGCACAGCGTGGACAATGCTGCGAAACTTTGGTTTTTCCTCCGGTTTCTTTTTCATCATCCCCATTTTCCGTGTAAAGGTTGAAGCCAACCAGTCCCGGACTTCCGATGGGACCGAGTCAGTCTGGATGTCGCTGAGCTCATCTTCAGTGTCCAGAAGTCTTCTACAAACATATACACAGGATAAGCACTGGGAAAGGGGAGCAAAGACTAACAAGGAAACAAATATCCAAATGTTTTCTTTGTTTTGTTTTGCTTTTTGTTTTTTTTTTTTAATGGCACACAGTTCTCTAATTATTCCTTAACACAAACTGTTTCTAAAAATTGAGTTACCATTTGGAAAACTCCTTAAGTTTTTGAGCTGATCACTTGCTGGAGGCATCAAATGATACAAGATAGCATCTGCTGCTTCCCAAATATTGATGAAAAGTATTAGTAGTGGTTACATTATGTTGTCAATCTCATTAATATGCCACCCTAATGGTGATTAACTCAGAGCAAAGAAGAAAATTCATAAATAAGTGTGCTACTTATTTTTCCAGGAAGCAAGTAGAAAGAAAAGAAAAGGAGGTTGAGACTATAAAAAAAATCTTACATTTAATTTTTCTACATAGTAGAGATAGTTTTGTGAGGGTTCCACAAGCCGTCCATATATACTATTTCATTGAGTAAGTTCTTCTAAATTAATTAAATAACCTAAGAATTCTAAAAACAGTCTTTTAAACAATATCATTGCATATTTTACAACATTACAAAATCATCAAGGAAGGAACGAAGCCAGTGAAATGGCTCATCAGGTAAAGAACCTGCCATGATCACCCTGTAAGCCTGAAGACTCGAGTTCAATCCCCAGATCCATGTGAAAAGAAAGTTGTCCATAGACTGACATTCACATGTGTATTGTGGAATTTATACACCACACTACACACACACACACACACCGTATACATTCACATAAAAACAGTAAATAAAATTTTAAATAAAGATAAATGTGTTGGAATTGTTTTTTTTATTATTCGTGGGGGAATTAAGGATGCTCTCTCACCTCTAGGATGCACATATCAGCACATGCTCCAGTCTCATTTATAAAGTATCAGGTGATTTGCCTGTAACCTATGAGCTCTCTCATGCTCTCATGTATACCTTAAATCAGTTCTCCATTCTACCTAACATTAGTAAAATGTACATGCCATACATATGTATGTATCTATGTATGTATGTGTGTATATACGTATATGTATAGTGTATGTGTGTGTGTGTGTCCTGCCATACTGTGTTATTTAGGGAAGTATGGAAAAAAGATTATACACATTCAGTCCATATGCAATTTCATTTTCCAGATACTTCTAATGCTTAGTTGTTTGAACCCATAGTCATGGTGTGAGAGGATGAAAAGGGTTATGTTGAAAGGTCATTTCAGGAGACTGAGACTCTCTAAGGAGGAAGAACACTGCTAGTGAAGAGTTGATTTTAACATAAGGGTTAAGATTTGATTTCATGGATTTAGAACTTCTGACCAGGACCCAAGTGTCCCAGCACTTTGGAGGCTAAAGCAGGAGGATGGAGGATGGCAAGTTTGAGGCCAACCTTGGCCAGCTTCAAATGAGACCTTTTCTCAAAGAAACCAAAACAGAACTGCTGCCCAAGGTCATCAAGGGAGTTGGGGACCTAGTGTGTATTAACTTTTGGGAAGTGACGTGGACTGGTTGATAAGGAACCATAGTTGCCACAGAGGCATACTGAGGGAATACCAACTGAACACCTATCAGAGTCTGTAACTGAGAACTTCCTAAAAACTTGAACTGGCAATAGTAAATGAGAGATTTTCCTTGTATACAAACCCAGCTACACACATCAGTCTACTTTGTCTACAGAATACAAACTACCTTGTCCTGAAATCTGAATTGGCCATTTCCTCAACAGTGCACCCAATCAATAGTGCAGGTGTCCATGGCATGCTTTAGCTTTGACCTTTGTGTTCGTTTAATCAACATGACCTTTAAATGGTCCCCTCTATGTGTTGTTTCCTTCAATACACACACACACACACACACACACATGCACAAACACACACACACTACTTATTTTTCACGATATTAAATAAGTATATATGTATTTATGAAACACGGTAGTAAAACTAAACACTCCTTAAATACTGGGTTTACAGAACTACATGTACACACAAGACAAAAGACATATAGATGAATAAACATACTGATTAGTACTCACTTTGTGACTTTTTCTAGTTTTTTTTTCTTCTTACGTTTTAATGACTTTAGTCTACCAATAGACCACTTAAATTGTAATTTTAAGTAAAAATCTTTTTTGCCTTGTTTGGTCATTTCAAATTAGATTACTTAGCCCATTTTAGTATAATACTATACTACATGCCTTGAATTTTGTTACTTAAAGATTATGCCATTTCTATTTTCTTTTATGCAGTGATCAAGTAAATCTATAGAGCAGAGCAGGTGGAACAGGAACCATTGTGGTGTAATCACGTGATGTCATCACTTTCCTCTCATTCTCTTCTCCCTGTTCTTATCAGCTGGGTGAAACAGAATGCCAGGTGGGTGGTAACCATTACCCATTTGTCTACCACAATTGGTATTGGGGACTTAAGGTCTATATATCCTAAACTCACAAACTGCCACAACAGATAGTTAGACAAGACAAAGCGGGTGTAAAGATATAGAGAGCATCACTGGGATGTGTTACTATGGCAATTTGTAGTTATAATGCATGTCAATCTTTCTTGAGAAGGAGTGTGCAGTTTCAGGGAAAGGAATGGTCTATATTTAGTATAGAATAAAGGAAAAAAGGAATAAAGGGCTTGTTCTTTGACTATTTGTGTTTATTGTCTTGCTTGTTCCTTGACTATTTGCATCTATTTTATTGCTAGTTCCTCAACCTAGAACTGATCTTAATACTTGCATGTAATTAAAATGGTATAAAAGCAACAATGGAGGAGGGAGAATGGGATAGGTTTTGGGGGTCGGCGGCAGAATGGGGAAAGGGGATGACATCTGAAATGTAAATAAATAAAATATCCAATAAAAAAAGGCAAAGGCACTGTATACAGAACAGGCAAATCTTGAAACAGTGACAGACACTTCTCTAGTGGATCAATTGATATGGCAAAGGGGGTGGGGGGGGGTGAGGGGGGGTGGGGTGTGATACTTAGTTATGTGTTTAAATGATGACCTAGATGTTCCTATGAAGGTATTTTTTTTTATGTGAAGATGGAGCAAAGTAAATTACCCTTCAAAATGTGGATAGGCCTTATTGAATCATCTAAAGGCCTTAAAAAAAGATGGAGTTGCCTTAAAGAGAAAATTCTGAGTTGGGATGACTTTCAGATTCAAGACTATAGCATTAATTCCCTATAATTTCCAGCTTGCCAGACTACTTTCCTGATTGCAAGATAGTCATTAAAACATGCTTCCCTTCCTCTCTCTTGTATGAATAGTGTGGAGTACCTACCAGTGTAGACTTTAAGTCAGATACAGAATAAAGTCTTGGACCTGTATTAATATTGATCTCTGATAGCATATTGTTCCTAGTTCTGGTTTTAATCTATGAAAAATCCTTATATAAACTAAATGTTTAAATGCAATATTCTTTAGTCATGTCAAAATTATTGATCACCTATAAAATGATGAAAAATTGAAATATTCTGGGCATAGTATTGGAGACCTGTAATTCCAGGACTCAGGAAACAGAGGCATGTGAATTCTATGTGAGTTCAAGACATGCCTGGTATACATAGTGAGTTTCACGTGAAGTAGAGCCAAATAGAAAGACCCTATCTTAAAATAAATAAATAGGTAGGTAGGTAGGTAGGTAGGTAGATAGATAGATAGATAGATAGCATGGTCTTGTGATTTTACATTTCAAAGGAAAGAGAATAAATGGAGAGGAGAATGAGGATACAATTATGAAAGGAAATGCTGCTTTAAATAGGATCATCAGAGACAATTTGTACAACTTAAAAAAATGTATAGGAAAAGTCTGCCTATAAAGGTCCAGAGATGCTAGTCCATACTACATTATGATATGAGCAATCATATGACATGTTAACTATTGGCGCATTTTCCTTAGGAATTTATAAAGAGCACTGTACAGGAAATAAATGATAAGGTATGCATATATATGTAACATGATACCAGTGTTGACCTCTGAAAAATGTTTCACTCTTTGACATGATGTTTTCAGTCCCATTGAGTATCATCAAAGATTAAAGAGAGGTTCTCAGACACAGGCTTTGTATAGAAAGTGGACCAGGGAACTGAGAAAAACTGACCTTGCATCCGATCAGTGATCAAGTGATCCTTTGGAGCTATTTATAGGCCAAGATTTCTCTCCGAATAAGATGACACATCTCCCAAAGGGCTTATATTTTGAACTAGAAAGTTTAAAGGGAAAGGGAAATAAAGAAGGGGGCAACCTCGGAAGAAGAGGTCATGGGATTTTGACTCTTACAATTATGTGTCAGTGAAAATATTTCTGTCTGAAGGGGTCTCTTGGAAAATAGTCACACCCAAGGAAACACAGTCTTTTCCAGGAAGTTGGTGGCCACAAATGAACCTAAGTATTACAATTTAAATGCTGGGCTGGGTGTGATTAGGAGAGACTAGCTTCTTAAGTTTGTCTTTTTCTATTACTTCCATGCCATTTGTATGATAAAAGATTTATTTCAAGAAGCAATTAACTCATCCCTTCTACCCCTAACATTTGATGAGTCCAGAACAGGAACATAATATTTTCATGTGAGACAGAATCAATATTTTGATGTCATTTATCTGGTGAACAAACTATGTGTCCTATGCCTCAATTTTACAATGCTTCCCAAAAGGCTTACAAGTTGAGTTAAGATGCAAACTTTAGCTCCTTGTGTGATGGACCAGCCTGGCTGTGTCTGTCTTGCTGCCCTTACTGCTTAGGCCCTCACTTTCTATGCCTTACTTACAAATCACTAAATACTTCAGAGTAAAAATTCTGAACATGATTTTTAAAAATATTTAGCATGCTAGTACCTGAAACAGGTAGAGGGAAAGACTCCAACTGTGTTTTGTCTTTGAAACTTGTCACCTCTAGGGAGGGACATATTCCTAAAAGGCCATGATTGGCACCCTGCAGTAGAAGTCAATGTTCAGGGGAACAA